CCGCATTGCCGGTGCACCGGGTTGAGGCGATGCGTAAGTACTGCGCATGACGCATCGCACTGACGTCCTCGATGCGTTGAGTTCTGAATGTAATTGGTCATGGGTGGGTGGGATACGTCCAGCGGGCTTCGAATAAAGGCTAGTGAACCCCAAACCCTGAACCCTAGGGCCCGAAGACCCTCGACTCTAAGACCCAAAGACCCGAAGACCCTCAGACCCGAAGACCCGCAGACCCGAAGACCGTAAGACCCAAAGACCCGAAGACCCGAAAACCCAAAGACCCAAAGACCCTCAAAACCTAAGACCGTGAGACCCTGAGACCCGAAGACCCGAAGACCTGAAGACCTTCAGACCCTAAGACCTTCAGACCCGAAGACCTTCAGACCCGAAGACCCTCAGACCCGAAGACACGAATAACCGAAGACCTGAAGACCCGAAGACCCGAAGACCCTAAGACCCTGTGGCCCGAAGGCCGTATGACCCTATGACCCTAAGACCCTAGGCCGAAGACCCGCAGATCCGAAGACCCGACGAGCCTAAGACCCGCAGATGCGAAGACCCGCGAAGACAAGAAGACACGAAGACCCGAAGGCCCAGAGGCATGAAGAACCGAAGACCATAAAACCCGACGACCCGAATACCCTAAGACCCGGAGGCCCTCAGACCCCCAGGCCCTCAGACCCTAAGGTCCTCAGACCTAAGGCCCTAAGACCCTAAGTCCTACAGGCCCTCGGGCCTTGAGACCGACAGGCCCTAAGACCCTAAGGCCCAAAGACCCCCTAACCCCCTGACACTCAGACCCTAAGGCCCAAACGACCCCAAGACCATCAGGCCTTGAGACGCTAAGAGCCTAAGATCCGAAGACCCTCTGACCCCCTGACCCTCAGACTTGAAGACCCTAAGGCCCTAAGGCCATCAGACCCTGAGACCCTGAGACCCTAAGACCCTAAGACACCAAACCCGACGACCCGAAGACCCTAAGACCAGACGGCCCGAATACCCGAAGACTCCACGACCCCAAGACCCGAAGACTCGCAGAATCTGAGGCCTTAAAACCATGGCCCTAAGACCCTCAGAACCTGAGACTCCAAGCCCTAAGACCCGAAGACCCTTGGACCGTAAGACCCAAAGACCGTAAGACCCTACGGCTCTAAGGTCCTGAGGCCAGAAGCCCCCAAGCCGTAAGACCGTAAGGTCCTGAGACCCTTCGACCGTAAGACCCAAAGACCCCAAGCCCTAAGGCCCGAAGACACGAACTAACACCAGAAGACCTGCAAACCCGAAGACATGAAAACCCTAGACCCGAAGACCCTGAGACCTTAAGACCCTAAAGCGCCAAGTCCCTAAGGCCCTAAGGCCCAAGGCCCGCATGCCCTCAGGCCCTAAGACCCTAAGACCCTAAGGCCCTAATACCCTAAGAACCTTAAGGCCAAGATCCCCTCATACCCTTAGACCCTAAGACCCTATGGCCCTGATACCCTAAGACCTCAAGACCCTAAGACCCTATGACCCTAGGACCCGAACACCCTAATACCCTAAGACTCTAAGACCCTAAGACCCTGGGACCCTTAGACCCTAAAAACCCTGAGACCCAAGACCCCAATACCCTGAGGCCACAAGGCCCCAATACCCAATACCCTAAGACCCTGAGACCCTAAAGCCCTAAGACACTACGACTCCAAGACCATCAGGTGCTCAGACCTTCAGACCCTAAGACTCCAAAGCCCTAGACCCTAAGCCAGTAAGACCCGAAACCCCAAAATCCCTAAGACCCGAGCGCCCTGAACCCTGAACAACGCAGGCGGCCAGCCCCCTACGCTTGGGAGCCACCATGTTGCGGAAGGCCTGGCGGACAGCCCCCCTACGTTGGGGAGCCACCATGTTGCGGAAGGCCCGTGTGGCGGAAGGCCCGGCGAAAAGCCTCCACGTTGGGAAGCCACCATGTTGCAGAAGGCCCGGCGAGGGGAGCCACCATGTTGCGGAAGGCCCGGCGTAAATCCCCTCTACGTTGGGACGCTACCATGTTGCGGAAGGCCAAGCAAAAAAAGCATCCTACGTTGAGGACCCAATCTGTATCGGGAGCCTCGGCGAGAAACCTCCTACGTTGGAGAACAACCATGTTGCGGAATGCCTGGCGAAAAGCCTCCTACAATGGGAGGCCACCATATCGCGGAAGGCCCGGCGGACATCCCCCTACGTTGGGGAGCCACCATGTTGCGGAAGGCCCGGACGGTCGTTTGAGGTCCTGGTCTCGGGTGACCCCCCAGGGGGGGGGACAACTGGGAGGGTGTTCCAGCCCAGGGCCCGGGCCCCTGGTACGCGGTATCTGATATATGCCTCACCTCTTCAATCCAGATGGCTCTCGGATCAGCTCCAGAAGCCTCCCAGAGGGAGAGGAAGATGCTCCCAAACCACGCGGTCCCGAAGAAGACCCCGAGATGGCTCCTAGACGTGACTCCCGCGTTGCGGGTCCAGCGCAGCGGCCCCTGGGGCGTGTATGACAGCGCTGCTTGAGTCAAGGTGGCTGGGACGAGGGCCAGGCTGGTTGAGGCACGGCGGAATACCTCGATGAAGCGATGCTGCATTCACGCGTTGAGAGTGGCAGCGCATATGCATGCGTACATAAGCCATACGTATACATATGTAGAGATGTCTCAACACAGACAGCTGTGTGTACATATACAGATACACGTATGTAAATAGCAGAGCGAGAAGCCGACCTTCGCAACTATACAAAGTAGTCATATAGGTGTGCCTACACATGTCGATGTAGAAGTTTCTATATGTGCGTGGACGTGTATGCGTACGTACATGCTCAACGTATACATACTCATGACTAGAAGCACATCTACATATGTACAGATGTGAAAAGTGGTCAACAACAATGATTATAATTATCGGAATGGAAACAGAGAAAGAGAGGGGGAGAGAGCGAGACGGAGAGAGTGAGAGAGAGAGAGAACGCGAGAGAGAAATAACAAAAGAGAGAGAGAACGAACAAAGAGAGAGAGAGAGAGAAAGACAGAGAGAGAGAGAGAGGTGATGGAAAGAGGGCAACACCAAGTACGTGACGCGAGCCGCGCAGCCAGCCTGACAGCGAGGAACGATCGGATGGTTGCACAGACTACGGGCAACGCATCTGGCTACAGGTGGGTCTCGTTGCACTGGAGCAGCAAACTCCGAACCGATGAATTGATACGACCGCGAAGTTCACTGCAACCCCTCGTGCCCGACTGCCAACGAGATGATCTCACAACATATGCATATCGTGATTGAATGATGTTGCCCTGTTCATCCGAATTGCTCTTTTCCCTGGGCTGCTCTTTTTCACCCGAAACGCTCATATGCTGATCGAGCGTTGTCGCTCTATCAGCCGCGAGCTTTCCCCCTCCCGCCTCAAATCGCTCGAACGCTATGCGAACCATCACTGACTACGGCGTACGGCGCAACGCCGGCTCCGCAAACAAGTTCAGGTTTCTCCCTTTCTTGTTCGGTTCCATGCCGCATCGCAAGAACATATTATTAACGCCATCAGCGAACAACAGTTAAAGCTGAAAATGTAGGCCACATGGGACAGAGCTGGAAAACAGATGCGGAGGTCTTGCGAGCGAGCACTGCACGTCGATGATGGAGAAAACGATCTCCACCCGTCGCCTCTCGCTTGCAATTCTCTTCCTTGCCAGGGACAGTGGCTCGGCGACGGGCTGAAGACCTCCGCCTGTCCCCCGCTGCCTGACCTGCCCGACGTGCCTGCGAGCCTCGGGAAGAGGCCAAAGACGTTCGCTCTTGACCAGCCTCGAGCTTTCCCCATCCCCAAGATTGGCAGGCCCAACTGCGGTGATAATCTCAGGGGTGCGCCCTCAGATGCCGAGAGAATCCGTGTGATCGGCGTCGAGAGGAGGTCAGGCCAAGCAGAAGGATAGGGAGATGCCTTAGGCTGGTGAGGTCTACGGTCGGGAACATTTGCTTCGCGTGTCGCGGCCGCGGCCACGGTGACACGCTGTGCCGCTCCGCTCCACGGGGCGGGAGGCTTTGGAAAGTTCGGGACATTGACACTCGGGGACTGGGACGTGGATCGCGTGTCGCGCCGAAGCTTGGTCGGCCAGAGCTGGCGGAGCGACACGCTGCTGAGCCAAAGTTCCTGACCGTAGGTGGAGGCCTCACCAATGGAGCTGGGGTAGGTGTAGGAAGGCACCAACTATACACCAACACCGATCCTGGCCAGGATCACCCTGGGCCCAGGATCGGTGTATACGCCCTCCTGCCTTGCGCAAGAAGGCATATACACCGATCCTGGGCCCAGAGTGATCCTGGGCCAGGATCGGTGTTGGTGTATAGTTGGTGCCCTCCGAAGGTGGGGTCAGGGCATCGTGCCGCATCGCCGATGCAGCGTGGACGTCTGGATGGAGGATGCTGGGGCTCCAGATGGCGCCGCGGCGCCGATGCCTCGGCGAAGCGGCGCCGTCCTCCGACCCAACCTGCTCCGGCCCCGTGGACGAGGCCTGGGCTGCGGGACCTGGTGTGTGTGACACCGATGCCTCAGCTGGGGGGGGGGGGGCAACAGGACTCCGGTGCCGCCGCTGCACAGACCTCTCCAGGGCTGCGCTCCTGCGGCGACGGTGCACGGTCGTGCACGCTGGGGCTTCGGGTTGCGCGCCGACCGCCCCCCCCCCCCCCCCCAACGTAGCCCGGGCTGGCCTCAACAGGCGCTCCGAGGGGGCCCAGCAGCGACCCAGCTGGCCTCGACAGGCCCCACGGGTTGTCCGGGGCGGTCTCAACACCCTGCCGCCGCCTCTGGCGGCGCCCTTGGACCTCTCCGAGCCCCAAGCTTTGGGGTGTTGAGACCGCCCCGGACAACTGTTGAGGCCAACTGGGACTACTCGGGCGGCCTGTTGAGGCCAGCCCGGACCCTGGACTACCTTGGGGGGCTGTGTATGTGCGAAAGTCGAAGCCTTACCAGTATCTGTGCATATTTCTCCCCCCTGATCAGCAGTGCCTGCTCATTCCTGCGGCACGCCCGCTGCCTTGCGCTCGTGGTGCAGCCGCTCGAGCCGCTGCATGCTCTCCCCGTCCTTGGCAACGGCGGCGCCCTCCTCGGCCTCGCGGCCCGCGAGCTCCGGCGAGAAGGCGGGCAGACAGAGCACGAAGTACGTCGTCGCCTCTGGCCACACCCACCTGACGCGCATGACCCTCGGGAGGAATGCGCCCTGCCCGGCGCTGATGCTCACTCGCGAGCCGTCGCCGTGGACAGAGTCGATGGCGCCCGCGGCGCAGATCACGTACTCGTCGAACTGGGGCATCTGCCACGCCTTCTCCGACGCCCCCCTCGGACCGCCGCCCTGCCGAGCGATGCGCTGCCGTCGCCCGAGGCCACGTGGCCGAAATGCTCCGTGATCGTGATCCCCGGCGCGTCGACTACGGCGACTGGCTTGACGACGTCGACGCGCTCGCTCGCGACGGCCATGCCGCCGACCTTTCACGCGCGGCGTCACCCGCCACAGCTCCGACGTGGAACTCCTTCAGCTTCTCCCCGGGCCGCTGCATCTACAACTGTGCCCCCCTCCTCCACGCAGCAGAGCTCGGGAGAGTAGGCGGGCAAGCACACGACGGTGTAGCTGCAGGGCGCAGGGAAGATCCAGCGGTGGCGAGGGTCCGCGGGAATGTGCACGCCGTCGCCGGCAGCGCGCGCGTCACCTGGCCATCCGAGTGCTCGAAATCAATCGCCCCGCTATTGCAGATCACGAATTCAGCGAAGGCCGCCGTCTGGAACCCGGCCTTGTCCGCTGCGTGCACGTCGACGAGCGCAAACGAGGCGGCGCCATCTTTGGAGGCAACGTGCCCGAAGTACTCGTTGATCGTGATGTTCGCCGTGTCGACCACCTTGACTGGCGTCGTGATGAGCGGCGTCGGCATCGTCCCGCACGCGGCGCACCCGCACTTGAGCTAAACGCTGGCGTCTCCACGATGACAGGCTCCGCTGGACCCCACGGCGGCTCAGATATTGCCAATGACAGCCACCCTACGGACACGAGACACCCTCGAAAACGGCCCCCCAGGGCTCCCACGGGACATCCCGACTGCCCCGAGAGTGCCACCAACAGCGCGCTTGAAGAGGGCCTCCGGACGGCCCAGAGAGTCGGCGTCTCCGAAGGGTGTGGTTTGCAAGGGGTGCGGTTTGCAATCAGCACCCTGGGGGGCACCCTGGGGGGCGGGCGGGGACCTCGACGGAGCTCTCCGCCGCACCCCGAAGAGGCCCGAGGAGGACAGTGTCGTGCCACCCAGGCCCCATAGGCGCCGATCGCAAACCACACCCCGGCGTAACCACACCCTTTGCAGTCGCCGAGAAAGGGCCTCGGGCACGGCACAGGTGCCTGGCCACACGTGCACCGAAGCCACCCCCGCGAACACAGCCGGGCCCCGAGGGACACGGGCCCTGGACCCTGGGGACCAGCGAGGGGCCCGAACACGGCCCAGAACCTTGGGAGCCCGTTTCCCTCCCGAGCCGCTTGCTTCGTGGCTACTACGCCCGCCGAGTGCTTCATCTCTGCGCGCCCTGCGCGCCAGCTCGCCCAGGCTGCGACGCCCATGGCAGAGGAACAGAAAGCTGCAGGAACACATAAACTTTCGGAGCTCCGCGCGGACTTCGTGGATCGGCGCTGGCGGCGCCTCCAGCGCCGCTCCTGGCGCGCTCCGCGCGCCACCAGGGGAGGGAGGGTCCAGCGCAGATCCAAAACAAAACATCAGCGCGGATGGGCATCATTTCACCGATCCCTGTCCCCTGCGACTCTCGAGGGGCATATCCCTGACTGGGGTGGTGGGATGGTGGGGATCGGGATGAGTGATGGGGATGGGGATAGCGGTCGGTGAAACGGTGCTGAGCGGAGCTTCGAAAGTTCACCCGTCGGTCTGACGATGTGGGTAGAAACCTGGCATAGGAGGGCGTTGGAAGTAGATTGGGCCTCCGCCCGCTCCCCTGAAGTGGATGGAAGGAGGGAAAAGCACTCGCTGATGGAAGCAGGAGGGCGCCTATATCAGACTGGGACCTGGGCAGCCAGAAACACCTACGTACTTTCAACGACCGGCGTGCATGTGTGAGGGGGGCGTCCCAAAAGGGGGGAAGCGCAGATCCTGGCCCGCGGCACGTGCGCGGCCCATGGGGGGGGCCAGGGACGCCTGGAAACAAGAAGAGGCGCCACGAAATCTGGGGAGACATCATGGCCCCGCCATGAGAACCCCCCCCCCGGTTCTAGAAGAAGGAAAAACGCCACAAAACTGTTGGCGCTCCGCGTGGATTTCTTGGATCCGCGCTGGACCCCCCTCCCTGGCGCGCGGAGCGCGCCAGGGGCGGCGCCAGAGGCGCCGCCGGGGAACCCCAGGCGCGGATCCAAGAAACCCGCGCGTAGCGCCAAAAGTTTATGTTTGTGGCGTTGTTCCTTCTTCGATGCTAGTCGTCACCCCCCTCCGTGCCACCCTCTAGCCGGGTGAGGGCAGAGCCGCGCCCTCGATGGCGGCACCACCAGCAGAGGTGGCCCACGCGCTCCTCCTCCTCCTCCTCCTCCTCCTCCTCCTCCTCCTCCTCCTCTCCTCCTCCTCCTCCTCCTCCTCCTCCTCCTCCTCCCCCTCCTCCTCCTCCTCCTCCTCCTCCTCCTCCTCCTCCTCCTCCTCCTCCTCCTCCCTCCTCCCCCTCCTCGTTCTCTCCTCTCCCATCCTCCTCCTCCTCCTCCTCCTCCTCCTCCTCCTCCTCCTCCTCCTCCTCCTCCTCCGCTCCTCCCTCCTCCTCCTCCTCCTCCTCCTCCTCTCCTCCTCCTCCTCTCCTCCTCCTCCTCCTCCTCCTCCTCCTCTCCTCGTCCTCGTCCTCGGCCTCCTCCTCCTCCTCCTCCTCCTCTCCTCCTCCTCCTCCTCCTCCTCCTCCTCCTCCTCCTCCCCCTCCTCTGCTTCTGCCATTGCGCTCGTCTTCGCCGCGGGGCTCGCCTCCGGGTGCCCGGCGCACCCGCGCCTCGCGCCCCTCGGCCCTCTGCCGCCCAGGAGAGGGCCCCCCCCGCTGGGGGAGGCAGGGGCCACCGCGAAGGGCCACCGAGAGAGGGCCGAAGATCGAGCACCGATCTTCGGCCCCCCCCTCCTCCTCCCCTCACCCGTCCTCCTCCCCTCCTCCCCGTCTCCTCCTCCTCCTCCTCCTCCTCCTACTCCTCCTCCTCCTCCTCCGCCTCCTCCCCTCCTCCTCCTCCTCCTCCTCCTCCTCCTCCTCCCTCCTCCTCCCCTCCTGCCTCCTCCTCCTCTCTCCTCCTCCTCTCTCCCTCCTCTCTCCTCCTCCTCCTCCTCCCTTTCCTCCTCCTCGGGAGGATACTCCTTCGCCCTCCTCCTCCTCCCCCTCCTCCTCCTCCTCCGCTTTCCTCCTCTCTCCTCCCTTTCCTCTCATCCCTTTCCTCCTCTCCTCGAGGAGGAAGATCTCTCCTCCTCCTCCTCCTCCTCCTCCTCCTCCTCCTCCTCCTCCTCCTCCTCTCCTCCTCCTCCTCCTCCTGCCCCTCGAGGAGGAGGGCCGAAGGGAAGCGGACTCTATACATGAGCGCGTTTCTTCATGTTCGGCGGTAATGGGTATTATGGAGGGGGGGGGAGGGGCCAGGGGGGGGCATAATGCAATGCCTCCCCCCCGCCGTGCGCATGGCGGCAGTGCCCGGAGCGCACTGGGGGGAAGGGGCGTTGCGTTATATGTGTGGAGGGGGAGGGAGGGCCGGGGGCTATGATGCCCATTATGCCCCAAGCAAAAAGGATACACGCGCTATACACCGACGCGTCCTCCGACCCTGCATTGGAATCCGCAGCCAAGAAAGCGGATCCTGGTGTATACGGGATCCTGGTGTAGACATGTTTTCTGCGTTCCCCCGGGAAACGGAACAAGATGCATACACCGCACCACCCCCACGTCGCCCCCGACCCCCCAAAAAGTCCTGGGATCGAAAGATCGCCCGCCACTGTTCATGTAGTACTGTGTATGCTCTTGTTCCCGGAGATCCTCGACCCTCGACATGGAGAGAAGGAGCATCGAGGATCCAGGGTAACCCCACACCAGAGAGAGAGAGAGAGAGAAAAAACAAAGAGAGAGAGAGAGAGAACATGGGCATCGTGGCGAGAAGGCCTGCTGCGAGCCGCGCCGCCCGAGGGGGCTCGCCTCGAGGTGCCCCTAAATGAGCCCCGTGGACTGCCCGCGGAGTCCGATGGACCTCCCGCGGAGTCCTGCGAGCCCGCCGCGAGCGCCGCCGGGACGCAGAGAGCACGTGCTCGTGCCGTGCGCCCTCCCTGGAGGCGTGCGGCGCGCGGGGGCCTCGGCGCACTTGGCGCCTCTTCCTCCTCCTCCTCCTCCTCCTCCTCCTCCTCCTCCTCCTCCTCCTCCTCCTCCTTCTCTCCCCCACCTCCCCCTCCTCCTCCTCCTTCTCTCCCCCACCTCCTCTCCCTCCCTCCTCCTCCTCCTCCTCCTCCTCCTCCTCCTCCTCCTCCTCCTCCTCCTCCTCCTCCTCCTCCTCCTGGGTGAAGGCGGTGGGCGTGCGCCCCGGCACAGGCAGCTCCCGTGGCAGGATGGCCAGGCGGCGCCCCCGCCGCGGGAGGCTCCTTCTTGGAAGGCTCCGAGATGGTGCGCGCCGCCCGTGCGTGGCCCACGCGCGTGGCGGACGAGCATCTCTCTGGGGCAGTGCTGCTGTGCCGCCGACGGCTGCCGGCGCGCAGCGGAAGGGGCCCTGGGGCACACAAGTAAAGACACACACACACACACACTCAGATAGCAGAGCTTCCCCAAACATCTTTTCCCATGTGTTCTGGGCTGCTGTCTCCCCCCCCCCCACCCCACTTCCCACACTTGCCCATGCTTTCTGGGAGTCGACGATTCAGTGTGTCTGTGTGTGTTTCCCCCTCCTTGAGCAAAAGGGGATGGAAGGAGGCTGCTTCTTAGGAGGCGCCGGCCTTACATGCACGGATAAGGCCGGCGCCTCCTAGGAAGCAGGTGTGCTCTTCAGAAGCCTCCCCCCCTACGTCCCCCCCTCTGCGCGTGGCCGTGGCGGGACCCGCCGCAGGGCGCCCCGCGTCGAGGCGGGGAGAGGGCCCGAGTGGAGGACGAGACCGCAGCGGGGTACAGCTCCTCGCGTGCGGGGCCGGGCCAACCGGGCTCTTTGGCGTGGCCCTTAAGTGGCAGGCTGTTTCCGCCGAAGGGCGGGGGGGCCCAGGCAGGCCGAAAAGTACCGGCGCTCGGCGTGGCTGCGCGTGTCCCACGGGTGCCTCGCAAACTCTGCAGCCCATGCAGCTGTCTCTGGCTCCTTCTCGCAGGCACTCGCAAATTATGCTACGGCCCAGGTCATGGATCCATTTCCTATGTGCTCCGAGGGCTCCGCAACCAGTTCTAGGACCCCCATTGGAGGTGTTGGGGCCCCTTGAGCCCTCTCAGAGATCCGAGGACCCTGAAGTGACCACTTCCGGAAGCTCGGACAGGCACTCGCGCAAGCTCCGGTGGCCGGCCTTCACTGTCCCATGATTCCTTCCTACTCTTCTTCCTCTACGCAGCGCAGAGCACTTCAGCGTCCGCATCCTGGTTCGTAACCATGGTTCCACCATGCGAGCACCGGGCACCTCCCGACGCATCTACCTACCAGCCGCTGCGCTCCAACCTCCTCCTCCTCCTCCTCCACCGAGGGAAGGGGACGAGGCAGGCAGGGAGATTAGAGGGGGCAGTATGGAACCTGCCGCGGTGTGGCTCGACTTTTGCGACGGAGAGACTGCACACACCACTTCAGATTTCCGACGGACGTACCAGGCCACCCAAGATGCTTGTCAACACCAACGACGCGAGATCTCATCCAGACCCGCATGCAGGAGCACTCCGCTGGACCCCCCAACGGCGCGGGAAAATGGCGCCACCTGCGCGAGCAGGG